CGACGACGGCGTCACCTACGACAGCGAGTGCGTCATGGCGCGCTCGGCGGCCCTGCGCGGCCTCGACCTGCAGAAGGTGCGCTCGGGGCAGTGCCAGCCGCAGGGTAAGTACGGGCTTTCCCCCGCCGTGCCCCTGGGAAGGGAGCGTGGCTCGTCCCGGTGCCAGCGTGGCCGCCTTCCCTCCCCTAGACCGCTGCCAGGAGGAGTGCCGCTTCGGCGCCGTGTGCCTCAACCGCCGCGGCAGCGCGCGCTGCTCCTGCGAGCGCGTGGCCTGCGACGGCGCCTACCGGCCCCTGTGCGCCCGCGACGGCCGCACCTACGGCAGCGAGTGCGAGCGCCGCCAGGCCGAGTGCCGCCAGCAGGCCGCCCTGCCCGTCAAGCACCGCGGGCCCTGCGGTAAGCGCCGCGGCACCTGCGCCGGCCTCCCCGGCCCCGCGTCTTCCCTTGTGTCCCGCCGGTGCCGGCTCCTTCCCATCCCGTCTTCTTCCCTTGTGCCCGGCTGGTGCCGGCCGCTTCCCAGCCCTGCTTCTTCCCTTGTGTCCCGCCGGTGCCGGCTCCTTCCCGACCCCTCTTTTTCCCTTGTGTCCGGCCAGTGCCTGCTCCTTCCCATCCTGTTTTCTTCCCTTGTGTCCCACCGGTGCCCACTCCTTCCCATTCTGTCTTCTTCCCTTGTGTCCAGCCGCTGCTGGCCCCTTCCCTGCCCCTCTCCTTCCCTTGCTCATGGCCAGTGCTGGCCCCTTCCCTGTCCCTCTTCTTTCCTTATGTCCTGCCGGTGCTGATCCCTTCCCATCCCATCTTTTTCCCTTGCTCCCGGTCAATGCCAACCCCTTCCTGCCCCTCTTCTTCCCTTGTGTCCGGCCGCTGCTGGCCCCTTCCCGGCAGGCATCCTGTGGAGATGCTCCAGGTAGGTTGTACGAAGGGTCCCGTAGGCTGAGCCAGCTCCAGCCCTCTGTTTTTTCTCCTTCCAGCAGTTGCCAGTGGTCTGTTACCTGTGCGTGGTCTTGTCTGCATCTACTGTGTCCGTTATCAATGTGAAGAATCGTTCTGTGTTTGAACAAATCCAGAGTGTCTCTGATGTCCCGTCCGTTCCTCTCATTCATTCACCCTTCAACCAGCTCATCCTTCTGCAGCCCATGCTCTTCATCCCTCCTCCAAGGGTAGTGCCAGTCCCAATCTCCCTCCACGCTTCCCCTCCATCCCTGCCTGCTTCTTTCAGCTCCAGGTGCTCTCCGTAAGGATCTCCTCGCTCTCCGGAGCTCCCCACAGCTTTGTCTCGTCTCCAGGAGAAGCTCTTGGCCTTTCTGATGGAAGCTTGTGCAGGCTCGTGGATAGGATGGGTCTTGGGTTTCCTATGGTGCTGGGAATATCTGATTTTTTTAATTAATGCACAGACACTGGAGGAGGCTAAACACGGTCATGGGATTGATTTGCATGAGTCTGGCTGCTTATTTTGGTTTGGATCTATTTTCTGCTAGAGATATAAAACTGTGTCCTGTTTTAAGCTGATACTTTAGAAGGTATCAGATATATCAAGCCTTCTAAAGTACCAATAGATTTTGAGCGGTATTTTGGCCAGAATAGGCTAGAATTTGGGGTCTGATTTGCTGGCTTTGGGCTCCTGCAGTGGGTTTTTAATATCACAGCCCCAGGTGCTTGAAAATTCTGTCATGCTCCCAAAATCCCACTTAAAATAATCACTACTGCTATTTTTAATCGTTCCTTCCAGTGTGTTTCTGGTTGTTGAGCCATTAGGAGCTGCTTCCCTAGGTTTTTTCCACAAGAGCAGCAGAGATGCTCTTTATTCCTCTGTGTGATCCTGGAAGCTGGTGCTGGATGGGGACCAGCAGAGCTCCGCAAGAAGCCGTGCGCATTGGCACATCTGGGTTTACTTCCCTCCCCATGCTGTGCAGCTGCAGGTTTATTCCTCGAGCTCCAGGTCTCGTGGTTGGCGTGGGAACATCACAGGCTCCTTCCTTGAGGAAGGAGAGGAGTGAAGCTGAAGGCTCGTGCCCAGGTGGGCTGGCTCTGCCACATCCCCGAGGTTCTAAATCCATATGATGGAGACCATCCCAAGGCTCTCTGAGCTCATCCTTCCTCTTGCATGTCCCCAGTGCAGAAGGAAAGGCAAATTTAGATGGTAGCGATGTTGTTTCTTCATGCTCTGGATCCAGATGGGTCATCCCTGCATGCTGGTGATCACTCCTCTCATCCCTGGCATCCTGGCCAAGGCTTTTGTGGGATGCAGGGTGCAGCAGAAGCGCTCAGCCCATGGCAGGGCTCTCTTGGCAAGCGGGCTGAGCGACCTGCAAGGTCTGTTTGCAACCAGCAGCCACCGCAGTGAAGCCAGGTATTTCACCTTATTGCTCCTTATTGTGAGCATCCCACAAACAGCCAGGACCACGCTTCCAGAGTCTCGTGGAAGGAAGGGAACAAGACAGACCCTTATTGCAATGGCAGAGACGTACTTTAATCTTGCACAAACACCTGCCTAGGGAGCTCCCGGCTCTCGTGCTCTTCCCCAGCGGGATGGCAAAGGAGGCAAAGCCAAGCAAAACAGCCCAGGCCTGATTTATAACTCCTTTCTACTTCTGTGTCTGTGTCAGGAGCCAGAGATTGCCCACGATAAAGCTGAGAAAGCAGGGATGGGATGAGGCGTTGGACAGGAGGTGGAGGGCAAGTCTCTATAGTTGCATCTGTCTTTTCCTCCCTGCTGCTTCTCTTCGTGTTTCCTTCTCCACTCTTTCTCTCCCCTGCTCTTTCTTTCCTTTCTTGTCTGTGTCTTGTGTTTTACAGTGTTGCCTGTTGGGAGAAAGGAATTGTGTCCTCGCAGCACCCTTCCTATCTGGACATCTCTGCTAGGAGGTCGGCTTGCTTCCCTTCTCCGTAGCCAGTGGCAGTCCTGCCACTGCTCCCCTCTGCTCTGGTTTTGCTAAAGAGCCCCTAGGATGGAGACATGGCCCTGGGTTTGTTCCTCTTCCCGAGCACTTCCTGCTGGAATGAAAATGCCTTGCGATGCCGTGGGGTCTTTCCTAATGCTTGCTCGGGTTTGACCCTCACAGACGAGAAACAGAGGCCGGGGGATACCCAGCGCTCCTCAGCGAGTCCAGGTTGCCTGAGATGTGACTTTGGGCTGCTCCTGATCTTACCTGGTCTTTCAATCATGACGAACCCCCTTCTCCCACCCATGTCCTCCTTCCCAGAGACCTCTGCCTGCCGGGGACTTGGTGGCTTGTCTCTGCTCCCTGTGGCGGGTGTCCTGACTGTTCTGGAGCTACTGGAAACCCTCCAGCTGCAGCCAAATGGATGAGGAAGGAAGGGCTGAAGTAGTGGCCATTGGCCTGCACTGCCCCCCTTCCCTAGCCCTACTCTTCTGCCATCCCCGGGTTCTACATTCCGGCTCCATAGGTGCTTCCCAGAGGCCAGATTCAACATTCAGCCCTGTGGGTGCCCTGGTAGGGGCCCTTCTCTCCCTGGGTGGCAGCAGGGATCCCAACTCCGCACTTTGGCTCCTGCTCCCTCTCCCTGCCCTTGCCCCGTGTCCGCCTTGCTGTGTTGGTTGTCACCAAGGCCGTCCTGCGTCTGCCTGTTGCATCCACCCGCTTCTGCTGCATTCTGTCCCCTGCATCCCTGTTGTCATATGTCCTTGTCCGTGCCTGGTGAGGATGCTCTCTCTGTCTGTTCCCTGCCCCCTCCCCAACCGGCTTTAATTAAGCAGCTTCATTAAGCGAGCGGAGGAGGTTCTGTCTCAGCCTGCACGCGATGCTGCAGGGTGTTATCCGTCTGCAGGGACCCCCAGGGCTCTGCTCGAGGATGTCTGAGGACATCAAGTGCCTTCATCCCTTGCATTCCCACCAGGACATGCAAGAGGAGGGAAAGGGGAGAGCAGGAGAGACAGAGTAAGACATCGTTTCCAACCCCAGTCTTGCTGGCCATGGTCATGGGAGGTGTTAGGGGGAAATTTAGGGGGGAAATTGCGCCCAGGGGTGTAGATTGTCGCTCTGCAGCCTGTCTGGCTGCTGAGGATTGGAAGCTGGTACCAGTTGGACACTAACTGTGTTATCCCACAGTGCTGGTACCCATGGAGGCCCCAGATGAGGACTTCTTTCCCCTGCCTCCTGTGCTTCCTGCTGCCCTAGGGCTGATTGCTCAGGCTGGACTTCACAGGGAGGCTTGTGGCTCTGCAGAAAGAGACTTTGAGCCTCAAAATAGCAGGTTTTTGAGCAGAAACCCATATGAAATCTGCAAGGCTGGTCCCACCTTCCTGCAAGGCCTTGGCTGCATCCTCAAGGCAGCAAGTAGCTAGAATGAGGACAGAGGGGTGGAAAACTAATATTCTGCTCATGAGTTGCAAGGAAAAAGGGTTGTGCTTCCTCGCCCCGACCTCCCCGTGCATGGGAAGGATGCAGAGCCGGGCATGCCGAGCTGGTGCGGAGGGCAAGGCTGGGAATGCTGCGCCTTGGCCCTGGCTTTGGGGTGGCAAAGGGCCACCAGCGGGCCGTGCCCTGAGCCCGGCGCTTCTCCGTCGCCCTCCCTGCAGACCTGGGCGCCCCCAGCCCCTGCCTGAGCGCCGAGTGCACGTTCGGCGCCACGTGCGTGGTGAAGAACCAGGAGGCCGTGTGCGAGTGCCAGCAGGTGTGCCAGGGCCGCTACGACCCCGTGTGCGGCACCGACGAGCGCACCTACGGCAACCCCTGCGAGCTGCGCTCCATGGCCTGCGTGCTGCGCAGGGACATCAAGGTGAAGCACAAGGGACCCTGCGGTAAGGACGCCGGCACACGCTCCTCGTGCTGCCCGTGCGGGCTGCGACTGGCTGGGGAGGGGGGAAAAAAAGGCTGTTTGGGCTCTTTTGTGCATTGCGAGGGTGGTGGGAGTCTGTCACGGATACATCGCCCGTCTGGTGTGTCATGAAGCATCAGGGAGATGGGCACGAGAGGCAGCAGTGCAGGGGCTGGGGGGGCCTTTCCCTACCATCCGTTGCCTTAAAAATCAAGTGAGCCTGGCAGGGTGGGGATGTAGGGAGAGAAGACGCGAGTGGGTCTGAAATCTGCCTTCCTCACTAAGGGAATGCCAGGGAAGTGGGGAAACTTTAGGATAAAATGGATAAAAAGGGCATCCCCTTGCAAGCCAGCCCTGGCCCTGCCGCCTGCAGTGCCCTTAACCAGCCGGGTAGCTTTGCAGACCCAGTAGCACCAGCCAAGCAGTGCTGTGGTGCCTGTCCTCGTCTCCTGGTTCCTCTACACACATATGACTCAGGCAGCCCCCCACACAGCTCTTCCTTCTGCAATCTGCCTATTTCTTTGCCAGTCTGTGTTGCTGTTTAGTGTTTGCACACAGGCACAGCCCGCGCTGGCCGCGCTCTCCCTGTGATGCATCTGCCGGGATGCTCGGGGTTGGGCCCGCGGCGGTTTTGCCGAAATGAAGTCGTTCTGCTTCGGTCCTCGGGCTGCAGAGTAAGAGCTGGTGCCCGTTTCTCCATCCAGGGCCTGTTGGGATGGGCGTTGCTGAGGTTGCTGTGGTCAAAACTGCGCCTGATCCCTTAGGTTCATAACTCTATGCAAGGAAAGGAAATCCTTCAAATAATAAAAGGCACCAGCAGCATCAGGAGCCTCTTGCTGCAGCAGAGCAGATTCCCCCCTGGAATTCATATTGGAAGGAAACATTGGTATGAATTCCAGGCAGTTGCAGGGAAAACAACAGGGGGAAATGGTGCTTCAGCTTGAGGCGACGTGCAGCTGGTGCCCTGGAGGAGGGAGCTGCTCCCGGGCATGCACGGAGCATGGATGCACCGCAGGCTTCGTGCTGCGGATTAGGGAGCTCCTCAGCAGCCACCACAGTCCCGTCGGCCTCCTCCTTCGCTGCACAAAGGCAGCGGCTGCCGCGTGCGAGGAGAGTGAGCAAATCCATCCTTGAGCCAGATTCCCGGTGCATCGGCGGGAGGGCAGAGAACGGGAGGGGGCTCTTTGCCCGAAGCGGAAATGAATCCATGAATTACTAAAGAGCCGGGAATCAGCAGCAAGGAGATTGCTGCTTGGATGCCACCAGCACAACCCTAGCAAGTTATTACCAGGATAAATGTCCTGCGTGACCCGAGCTGGGACTTGTGCTGTGCATGTGTTTGCAGGCTGAGCATCTTGATCGGGGAGGTGACAGGACCCTGTAAACTGAGCACAATGGGCTATAAATCTACCCAGGACTGCTGGCGTGCCGGTGAACAAGGGGAGGAGAGCTCCTGGGCTCACAGTGCTGCCAGAGCTCTGGTGCATTCATTGCACGTTATATTCCTTGTAGATGCACCCAGCCCCACGCTCTCCCCTGCCTCCCACCTAGCCATATTGGCATTTAATGACATTTCATTGCAATTCCTCCTGGCCCCGATGGCTTTTAGGAATAGTTATTGTCCCCCTGCCTCCACGCTTGTCCTTCTTTGCTCCTGGAAACCTTCCCTCTGCTCCTTGCATCCCGGAGCTTCTTGCTTCCTATAAAGCTGCAAGTGCCCATAGGGCTTGACGTCGGGATGGAGGTTGCAAGGAGGTTTTAATGCCGCTTTGGCAGCGTTTTCCATAGGAAGCTGATGCTCGGGCGTTGCATTAATTTCCCGTTTTTTTATTTCTGCAGATCGCTGCGGCAAGTGCCAGTTCGGGGCCATCTGCGAGGCGGAGACGGGGCGCTGCGTGTGCCCCACGGAGTGCGTGGCCTCCTCGCAGCCCGTGTGCGGCACGGACGGCGTCACCTACGGCAGCGAGTGCGAGCTGCACGTGCGCGCGTGCACCCAGCAGAGCCCCATCCGCGTGGCCGCCCAGGGGCCCTGCGGTGAGGCTGGCCCCTCGTCCCTTCTCCTTGCTCCTTTCCGTGGCCTTGCGGAGCGTGGGTGTTCAGCTAGCGATGGCCTTTAGCCGCTCTCCTTATTGCATTTGCTTGTGCAAATGTGGCCAGGCCTTCCTGGAGATGGTGCAGAGCATGTCCCATGTCCCCAGAACAATCTGGCTAAAACATGGTAGCAGCTGTCACCAAAACTGGAAGTATCAGTAGATTCCCCTCCTCTCTGTCCCCTGGGATCAATCCCCGCCCGCTCATGCGTTTCCTTCTCCTCTGCCTGTGCTAATTTCTTGATGAATTAAAAGCCCTGCCCGAGTCCTTCATTAGGACGAATGACACATGAGGAAAAGGAAAGCTTGGGACCATGTCAAACGTGTCCAGATGAATTGGGTGAGCTGGACATGGAGATCTCTGCGTTTTGGCAAGAAAAAGGAGCAAGCGTAACGGTGACTTCCACTGCTCCAGCAGCATTGCACGGAGGGAGTTACTGCACTGTTGAGAGCAAAGGGGGTTTCTCATGGCTGTCCCATAAAAAAAAAAAAAGCATTGGTCACCACCATCCATGGGTGCTGATAGGACTCAGATTTTCAGGACTCTTGTACGTCCTTTGCAGAGTCTTTGCAGACTTAAATGAGCACCAGCAGCTCCAGGAGAGGAGGAAGGTGGGTGGGTTTGTCATGGGTATCCCATAAAAAAACTCATTGGCCACCACCATCCGTGAGTGCAGATAGGACTCAGGGATGCTCAGGACTCTTGCACGTCCCTTGCAGAGTCTTTGTAGCTTAACTGAGCGACAGCAGCTCCGGGAGAGGAGGGAGGCGGGTGCCCAGCACGCCGAGGCTGGACGCGCGGGTCCCCGCGCCGCCTCACGGCGCCCGTGCCCTGTCGCCCTGCAGAGTCGTGCGGCGGCAGCGTGTGCTCCTTCGGCGGCACGTGCGCGGGCGGGCGCTGCGTGTGCCCGCGCTGCGCGCCCCAGCCCGCCGCCCCGCTCTGCGGCACCGACGGCCGCACCTACGGCAGCGCCTGCGAGCTGCGCGCCGCCGCCTGCCAGCAGCAGAGCAGCATCGAGGTGGCCCGCGCGGGGCCCTGCGAGGACGGTATGTGGACACTGGCCTCCCCTGCGGGCCTCGTGGGTCAGGGGTGGGTGGATGGATGCATCCCGAACGCGTGTGAGGGCTCCGTGCGCATCCCCGGGGCCTTGGTCCTGCTCACCACGCGCTCCCTGTGCCGCAGAGTGCGGCTCGGGCGGCTCCGGCTCCGGCGACGGCAGCGAGTGCGAGCAGGACCGGTGCCGGCAGTACGGCGGCTGGTGGGACGAGGACGCCGAGGACGAGCGCTGCGTGTGCGACTTCACGTGCCTGGCCGTGCCGCGCAGCCCCGTACGTGCCCCGCGCTGCTGCCCCCCTGCTCTCCTTGTCCCTCTCCCTGTTGTCACCCTGCACGAGGGGACACCTCGTGGATGGGGAAGCTGCGTTCCCCGCTGGGGACGGTTTGGGCATCTTCCCTGCCCTTGTGCAGGTGTGCGGCTCCGACGGCGTCACCTACGCCAACGAGTGCGAGCTGAAGAAGACGCGCTGCGAGAAGCGCCAGGACCTCTATGTCACTAGCCAAGGAGCCTGTCGGGGTGAGTCCTGTCCGAGGTTGCCCACCCTATGGGCTCCAAATCCCCATGCACCCACCAGCCTGGTCCCCCACGCTCTTCCGCTGGGCTCGGCAAGGAGATGCCCACCAAGGACCAGCAGTGTCCGTGTCGCTCCAAGCTGCCAACGTAACCTGTGGTCTTGTGTTGCCCTACAGCTCTCGCCACGACCTCGTCGCCTCTGCCAGCCGTGCACTGCAGCCAGACTGTCTACGGATGCTGTCCCGATAACATGACCTTGGCGCTTGGAGTGGGCTCAGCCGGGTGTCCGAGTAAGTGAATATCATGGTCCCAGCCGTAGGCAGCTGTAAGGCAGGTGGATGTGAGCAGAGATGAGGTCAGGTGGGCTCAGGACCCCATCCGAAAGGAGATGCAGGAAGGTGGTCTCTCCCCAGCAAGGCTAGTGACCTCCCCATGTGAGGAGGCCTTCAGTTTGTCCCCTCGCTCTGCTGCAGCCTCCAGCCTGGCTCCACACGTGCATGGAGACGTGCACACACGCTCTTTGCCTCCTGTATCTGCTGGTGGTGCTCCTCTGCTTCCTATCAGTGATGTTCCTCTCCTTTCTAAAGTCCTGAATCTGTAGAATAATCATAGAATCATTATGGTCCTTCAAGACCATCAAGTCCAGCTGTAAACCCAGCACCACCATGCTTACTAAACCATGTCCCTGCCTGGTCCAAGGCACTCTTAATGTGTTAACTCAGGTGGTTGCTCAGAACTTGTGTGTTGCTGAGTCCATACTGGGTATCTCAGGAGATGCCCAGAGAGATGGAGGTCATTCCTGTGAGAAGGGAGTTCCATTTGGGAGTTCCAGATGTCCACAAAGTTAATAGACAAATTCTCAAGGATTTCCCCGCCTTGCAGCTGGGGCACACGAGGGTTGGCTGATGTTTTCCATCCCTGAAGCAAATCCAGCAGCTCCGTGCGTGGGCTGGGGGCTCTCCGGAGCCTCCCCTGCGGCCAGGACCCTCACTCTCCCCACGTGTCCTGCAGGCACCTGCCAGTGCAACCCGTACGGCTCCTACGGGGGGGCCTGCGACCCCACCACGGGGCAGTGCTCCTGCAAGCCGGGCGTCGGGGGCCTCAAGTGCGACCGCTGCGAGCCCGGCTTCTGGAATTTCCGAGCCATCGTCACCGACGGCAAGAGCGGCTGCACGCGTGAGTGCTGCGTCCTGCACCGGCTCCTCTCCCGGCGGCCCTCCTCACTCTGGGGATAAGTGGGGCTTAAATACGTGAACCTCAAGGCCAGGCCTGCTGGAAGTCACCACTTGTGACTTCCAAGTGTGATCCCACTCAGTGTCCGCAAGTGGATACCAAGGGATGGGTTGGGAAGGGAAGGGATGAGGCAGCGTTTTGAAGGGACAAGGCAGCGTTTTGCCTCTTGATGCTGATCTCACTGGGGACAGACACGTGCAGATGGGGGAGTAAAGCAGGAGAGAAGCCCAGCTCATTTCAAGCTCCATTGGACACCTAAGTGAGAGGATCAATAAGTGCTAAATAAGAAAGGCTGGGAGAAAGGTGTGTTATTGGGATGGAAAGGTGTGTTATTGGGATGGAAAGGTGTGTTATTGGGATGCAATTCTGCGTGTCTTTCCCCAAAATTAAAGATAGCTGTCTGTTCCTTCTGACTCAATGGGGGACCTTTGGGGTCTGCTGTTGTCTGCAGCCAAAGCCACCACCTGAACGGTCTCTCTTTCCTCCTTGGCCAGCCTGCAGCTGTGACCCGGTGGGCTCGGTGCGTGATGACTGCGAGCAGATGACAGGGCTGTGCTCCTGCAAGACTGGCATCACTGGCATGAAATGCAACCAGTGCCCCAATGGCAGCAAGCTGGGCATGACGGGCTGCGAGAAAGGTGAGGGAGCCCCATGGCAGCAGGACAGGCTGGGACATGAGTATCCCAGGGGACAACACGAGAGAAGGGCATCCCACCCGCTTGTGCTTTGGGGAGAAAAAAGAGGCTGCTCCTCTGTTTGGTGACACTCTGGCACTGCCACTGGTCCGAGCTGCTCTGCAGGGTCCCTTGGGGAGCTGAACCCCTGCACGGAGGACATAGGGTGTTTGGTTTGTCATTGGTGTCTGCGTTGTTACCTCTTCCCCTCCTCTCCTTACCCCAGACCCGTCAGCGCCCAAATCCTGCGAGGAAATGAGCTGCGAGTTCGGGGCCTCGTGCGTGGAGGTCAATGGCTTTGCCCACTGCGAGTGCCCGTCCCCGCTCTGCTCGGAGGCCAACATGACCAAGGTTTGCGGGGGAGGCTGCCGGGGGGCTCGGCGTGCGGGGGCACGTGGGGCTGGGGCAGGATGGCGATGCTCCTGCAACCGCCGTGGTTGGCGCGTGGGGACGGCGCCGCGTGGGTCGTGGATGTCCCGGGGCTCCCTCTGTGCTTGGTTAGTGCCCTGCTCTGCTCCTGGGCCTCTGCATCCTGCGTCCCCCGCGATGCAGAAGGACCCTGCAAGGCATCCGCCCTGCCTAGCACGTAGAAATGGGCTGGTTTGGTCTAAAATTTGGAGGAGAGCAGGGACCTAACGCACGCTTTTCCATCTCCCCTCTGCCCCCCCAGGTGTGTGGCTCTGACGGTGTCACATATGGGGACCAGTGCCAGCTGAAGACCATTGCGTGCCGGCAGGGACAGGTCATCACGGTGAAGCACGCGGGCCAGTGCCACGGTGAGTGTCCCTGGCGGGTGGAAGTGCCACCTCTCCTGCCCCGACGCGGACTGCCACCCTCTGCGGCTCCTCATCGTCCCTCCATGGCACAGCTAACGCTCTGCCCCGGGCAGATGCTTGAGGGTTTGCAACCATTCTTCTTCCAGCCTTCCCCCTTAACCACCCTGTCTTGCTGCTCCTTTCAGAGACCATCACTCATGCAAGCCACACCACACCGCCCAGACCCCTGCCCACACTTCCCCTGGACAAATTAATTCTTCCTCCCCTGCTCCGGCTCACTACCCAGGCTCCTGAGCCCACTGAGGTGGCTACCAGCTCGCTGCTCTTGGAAGCCAGGCCTAGCGCGAGAGGTCACGGCACGACGAGACGCGTGACAACCGCCAGACCGGCCACCACGCCATGGGTGACCCATGGGGTGCATAAGACCACGGTGCGGCCCCTCTCGACGGCACCCGTGGTCCTGGCCACCACCCAGCCTGCCTACGTCGAGTCCGGCAGCGCGGACGGCAGTGGAGACCAGGAGATGGGCAGCAGCGGAGACCAGGAGGCCAGCGGGGCAGGGTCTGCTGGTGAGTGTGCTTGGACGTGGGAGGTCTGCTGAGAGATACGGCATGGCTTCGAGACACGAAGCTTCCTCGTAGAATCGTTCCATCTTTGTGGTTGGAGGAGACCTTCATTGAGTCCAACCATAAGTCCCTCAGCACTATACCTGTTAAACCATGTCACCGAGTGCCTCATCTACGCATTTCTTGAACATTGCTGGGGATGGTGACTCTACCACTTTCCTGGGCAGCCTGTTCCAATGCTTGACTACCCCTTTCATGTGGAATTTTTGTCCTAATATCAACCTGAACTCCCCGTGGTGTAGGTTTTCTAACATGGGGCTGTCAGCCCAGTTCTCTTAACATGGAACTGAGCTCCTGTCTCCCACTGGTGAATGTTCTTCTAAATGCCATGCAGGGGAAGAGGAGGAGGAGGAGGAAGAAAGCCAGGTAACCCCCACGCCAGCCATCGAGAGGGCTACGTGTTACAACACCCCGCTCGGATGCTGCTCCGATGGCAAGACCGCCGCTGCGGATGCAGAAGGCAGCAACTGTCCTGGTGAGTTTGTCCTCGGGGCCGGGCGCCGTGTCGGTGGTCAGGAGTGAGGCCGGAGCTTTGCAGGGCACAGCGGGGTGGATGATGAAGCTGAGAGCTGCCCGGCTCTCCCCCAGTGGCAGGGAGCCCTGTCCCTGTGTCCATCTCGGAGCAGGAGGTTCCCATGGATGTCCTGGGTCTGTGGTGGCAGGAGAGCATGTGCAGGTTTGTCTGGATGGCCACTTTCTGCCTTAGTTGTTATTGCCTTAAAAATATGGACTTTTCTGCTTAGTCTTACACAGAGATCAGGACTGGTGCGGGGGGAGAAGAGGGAGAGTTGCCTAGATTCCCACTTCCATCTTTTACAGTGGGAATTTTTACATCTTTTGCACTGTAGAGAGACTGGGCTTGCCAGGGCAGCTTAGTGCCAGGAGAGCCCCTCTGTTCCTGCTGGAATTCCTAGGAGTTTTGAGCTCTTTCATGCCCAGGTTGGGAGAAATGTGCATTTCTCTCCCGGTTTGGATGGCATCAGCTTTTCCCTCCCACGCCTGTTTTCACACTGTGAGGGTTTGCAGAGCCACCCTGCTCAGTGCAGAATAGTGGGTGTCCTGCGTGCTCAGCCTTAGTCTCCTAGGGTGCCTCCTGACTGCTCACTGGGGTCTTTCTGACTGTCCTTTTGGAACTGGAAGCTGGATTTTCCAGCAGAACATCCGGCTCCCCTTTTAACCTGACAAGGGACCCTTGCCATGGAGCTCCCATGCAGACATCCACAGCAAGGACCTTTCTGGAGCTACTATCGTAGCTTCCTTGGTAGGGAACCACACCTTGGGTTCCTCTCACAGCCTCGGTTGGTTTCTGGCAGCAGGGATAGGTCCTCTCCGTTCCCAGCATCCCTGTTTTCCCTCCGTTGCCCGATGCTGCCGCGTTGATGGGTGCTGCTCTGGCTAACGTGTCTCTCTTGTCGCTCAGCCGGTGCAGGGGGGCTGCTCTCCGGGCCGGAGCTCACAGGAAACTGTCTGGTAAAAGCTGCCATCTCCAGCCTGGTCTTTGCCATCCAGCACCCTCCGATACTAATCCTCCATGCTCTCCTCCCAGACCCATCCAGACTAACCCCAACACTGGCACTACCCACATGCCACCATCACCCCGTTCCCGCAGGGATTGAGCGCTCTCTGCCGCCCGCCTTCCCACGAGCCGAATTAAAGGGCTTTTCTTGTTTGCCCTCCTTCCCGTAGCTACCAAAGTCTTCCAAGGAGTCCTCATCCTGGAGGAGGTGGAAGGCCAGGAGCTGTTCTACACCCCTGAGATGGCTGACCCCAAATCCGAGCTCTTTGGGGAGACAGCCAGGAGCATTGAGAGCGCGGTGAGTCCTTTGCACTTGATCTGGACTCCAGCTAGGGCATTTCCCACCTTGGCTGAAGGAGAGAGATACCTGCACTCCATGTGCATCATGACACACAGATGCTTAAAACACAAACGTTGACCTCCAAAAGTGTAGTCCTCTCCTCCCGAAGTGAGCAGAGCTTCTCCACATGGCTGCTGATCAGCAATGTTCGCGCTTGTCCATGCAAGTGATGATGTTGCTGGGCACGCTCGCCTGCTCGTGTTTCCCCCCGTGGTATGGGGCTGCTTGGACAAGAGGCTTCGCCTTAATGCAAAGTATCATCAAAAGTATCTTTGCAAGGAGTTTAACGTATTTAGAGCTGATTCCAAGCTGCACTTAAAAGTTGGCAAGCCCTCCGTGCAGCCATACAAGCAGATGTGTGCCTGGCATATGGACCAGATGGTCCGTGAAGTTCTGTATTGTAATACAATATTTCCCAGTGCAGTAGTGACTTCAGTCTGAGAATCCAAACACACACGGAGCGCCTCGTTGGCTGGTTCATCTGTTTGGACGCAGGCTGCAATGAGATGCAGTCAAGGATGCCCACTGAGACCCAAGATCTTTAACCTGAATTTATGCCCTCATTGATTAGTTTGCTTGCTTTTCCTCCTCCACCCCTGACCAAGTAGCTGGATGAGCTTTTCCGCCATTCTGACGTTAAGAAGGATTTCAAGAGCATCCGTGTCCGAGACCTGGGACAGAGCAGCGCTGTCCGTGTCATTGTGGAGTCCCACTTTGACCCAGGTAAGACCCTCCCCTGTCCCCGTTCCTGTCCCTGCCATCGCTGTTTGCCTGATGGTACTCTCAGCGGTGTATAAATAAGAAATGAGCATGAGCAAGGAGCAGGAAGATGCAAGAAGCAGCAGATGCTGTGAGAACCTGGGAGGCGGAGCACCCCACGCTGGTGCCTGGAAGGCTAGAAATGGGTTTTTTAGGGAGAGGAATGGCTCGGATGTGTCGTGGGGAGGTCAGGAAGACTCCTAGGTGGGACTGCATCTTCACACTTGCCTTTTCTCTTTCTCCTCCTACGCTCAGCCACTTCCTACACAGCAGCTGATGTCCAGGAGGCCCTGCTGAAGCAGATCAAAGCTTCCAAGAAGAAGACCATCCTGGTGAAGAAGCCCCCGCAGGAGCATGTCAAATTCATGGATTTTGGTGAGCACCCCTGGCTGAATGTGTTCACTTCCCTTCCGTTGCCATAGGTTTCCAAAGGGATAAGCTGGTTCATCCTGTCTCAGCTTCTCATCTTCAGCAGTAAGTGATCAGGAGCTTCCCAGTGCACCATGCATTCCAGAGCCAGGGCTTGGAAGATGTTCCGTGTGCCCAAACTTGTGCTCATCCCCAAAGCCTGGGCTGTTTCCCTTTCTTTTTTCCCAGTGGGAATTTCAAGGTACCGATGCCCTCCTCCCCCTGTCTGTGTTTCAGACTGGATCCCGCGGCTCTTCACCACCACCATGACCACAACCACGGCCACCACCATGGCGCCCGCGACCACGCGGAGGTACAGCCCGGCCACCACGGCCCACGCGGGGCGCCCCCACGCCACCGCCGTGCCCGGCACCAAGGCGGCAGCGCCCGCCGGCACCAGGAGACCCACGGCCGCCCTCCCCGTCACCGGCCGGCGGAAGCCCCCRCGCCAGCCCCCGGCCACCAGGAAGCCCCCGCGGCCCTGCGACTCGCACCCCTGCTTGCACGGGGGCACCTGCGAGGACGATGGCAGCGAGTTCACCTGCAGCTGCCCGGCGGGCAAAGGAGGAGCCGTCTGCGAGAAAGGTCCGTGGCTCCGGGCACCCGGATTGCTCCTCGGCATCGCTGCTGGGAGCTGGGCACCCGGATTGCTCCTCGGCATCGCTGCTGGGAGCTGGCGGCCCTGGCATGGGGACCCAAAGCGAGGATGGCAAAGGCAGGGCAATCGTGTCCCTTTGACTGCTAGTTCCAAGTACAGGCTGCGGTGTCACTGCATAGTTGCCTCTCTTCATATGTGTTTTCTCCAATCATTTGCAGCTAGCAAGAACACATTGGGCTTCATCCCATGTAGCCCTTTCCRTGGTTGTCCCTGCTCCAGGAATCTGCACTGGCTGCATGGGGATGCCGAGGCTTGGGGCATCCCCACACCCAGCCCCGTGCGTGGTGCTGGCCCCGATGCACGCACCCCCGGCACTCTGTTGAACCTATTTTCTTGTGTCTGTCAAGAACAGGTCGTGCGTGCCCGGTGTAGGACGTGTGCACCGCAGGGCTCTATGGCAAGGAGGTGCCAGGAGCAGTTTCTTCCTGGCCACGCTTATTCGGGCACCCTGAGGCATGGGAATCATGAGCTTTCTTATCTCAGCCACGTAGTGTGCTGCTCTCCGTGCCCGAAGCCAGGGAGGGCTGCTTGCTCTGACACAGATGTAGTTGCTACCTCGAGCAGAAGAGCATGTGAGATGGTAATTGAGGCACTATTRCCCCATGCCGTGCTGGCCTGCCCCCTCACTGTGGCAAGCTGGTGCCATGCTGGAGGCTCTAGCTGGTTGTAAGAGGTTTTTTCCTAGAAAACCTATGAGCTTGTCTTTTTTTCCTGATGTCCTGCCCCACCTTGACTCCAGCCGCTCTTCCCTTCTCTCCCACCTGGCTCTCGCAGCCGTCAGGTACTTCATCCCCAGCTTTGGTGGCAAGTCCTACCTGGCCTTCAAGATGCTGAAGGCGTACCACACGGTGCGCATCGCCATGGAGTTCCGCGCCGCCGAGCGGAGCGGGCTGCTCCTCTACAACGGGCAGAACCGCGGCAAGGACTTCATCTCCCTGGCGCTGCTGGGCGGCTTTGTGGAGCTCAGGTGGGTGCCCAGGGACCTGTTGTGGAGCTCAGGTGGGTGCCCGGGGACCTGCCCCGTGCACAAGGGCTGGGGCAGCCTCATTGCCCGGCCCCAGGGCTCCTTTTAGGGCTTGAATGCTGAGGAATGGGGGAAGGATGTGCTCTGTGCGGGTCTGGAGCTCTGGCGGGTCCCAGCTTTGTCCTGAATGCAGCATCCCTCATGCCACGGTGCCCGTGCCGTTAGTGCAGCGTGGCACCAACGCAGCGCACCCTCCCGCAGGTTCAACACCGGCTCCGGCACGGGCATCATCACCAGCAAGGTCCGCGTCGAGCCCGGCAAGTGGCACCAGCTGGTGGTGAACCGCAACCGCCGCAGCGGCATGTTGTCCGTCGACGGCGAGCCCCACGTCAACGGCGAGAGCCCCACGGGCACGGACGGGCTCAACCTCGACACGGACCTGTTCATCGGAGGTGCGCCAGAAGACCAGATGGCCGTGTGAGTAGCGGGCGCTGGACCGCTGCCCTGCGGGCCGTGGCATCCTGGCCACGGATGAAGCGTCGCGGTGGCCTGCAGCCCCCTGCAGACTCCGTTGGTGGCCGGGAACGGGGATGTCTCCGGGCCTGGGAGGCCTTTTGCCCGTAGATGTTCCCCCAACCACCTTGTGCTTTGTCCCCGCAGGGTGACGGAGCGCACGGGGGCCACGGCCGGCCTGAAGGGCTGCATCCGCCTCCTGGACGTCAACAACCAGATGTACGAGCTGCGGGAGAAGGGCAGCGACGTGCTCTACGGCAGCGGCGTGGGCGAGTGCGGCAACGACCCCTGCCACCCCAACCCCTGCCACCACGGCGGCGTCTGCCGCGTGAAGGAGGCCGAGATGTTCCACTGCGAGTGTCTGCACAGCTACACGGGTGCGGGTTGAGGGGCGCAGGGCACGGAGGGGGCACCTGGGCCACCCCCAAGGCRTCCTCCAGCCCTCGGGCTCTGCTGTGAGGGAGGTTGGGTCTGTGGGGGTGTCTGCTGCGGCTTGCAGGGAGAGGGTAGGGTGAACGTCTAGTGAAGACAAATACGTCTAGTGAAGACAAATTTTCACTGGTCTCCACTTCTAGTGAAGATGAATGAATTTAGGCCTAAAGCTATTCATAGATTCAGGCCAAATAAATTTAGGCCAACAGCTATCCATACAAGCCTGAGATGAGGACCAGGACCTAGRAAGGTGGCTGGCAGGACCATCCAGAGGCATCCCACCCTATACACGCCCCAGGATGGAGCTGTCTCCCCTCAGGCCATGCCCAAGGAGTGTTGGAAGTGCCCACCAAGCGCACGCCCTTGTCTGCTGCAGGTCCGACGTGTGCCGACGAGAGGAATCCCTGCGACCCTACGCCCTGCCACGTCTCCGCCACTTGCTTGGTGCTGCCGGAGGGAGGTGCCTTGTGCGCCTGTCCCATGGGACGGGAAGGAGACTTCTGCGAGCGAGGTGGGACAGGGCCTGGGGCGAGAGGAGTGGGCGGGGAAAGGCATGGAGCCAAAGGTGCTCATGGCCTCAGCTCTGCTTGGCCAGGAGGCYTCACAGGCTTCACTGTTCCCCTGTTTGTGCCTAGTGGCAGAGCAGGACCACAGCATCCCCTTCCTGCCGGAGTTCAACGGCTTCTCCTCCTACCTGGAGCTGAATGGGCTGCAGACCTTCGTGCCTGACCTGCAGTAAGTGCCTGGAGCAGCAGAGGTGCATGCACGAGCATGCAGGGTCTTCATGCCATGCCTGTAGTTGCTGGCAGGTGAAGGTCTTCTTGCAAGCCCTTCATCTAAGGGAGGAAGGGGAGAGCACATGGGCAACCGCTTTGGAAAGTGTCACTAACTCATCTCTCCTCAGGGACAAAATGTCCATGGAAGTTGTGTTCCTGGCCAAGAACCCCAACGGCATGATCTTCTACAATGGGCAGAAGACGGATGGCAAAGGGGACTTTGTCTCGCTAGCCTTGCACAACGGCTACCTGGAGTACAGATATGACCTGGGCAAAGGGGCAGCTGTGCTCAGGTAGGGATGAGGTGGGGAACTGGGACAGTGGTGACAGAAGCAGGGGTGGCTTCAGAGACCAGCACTGGCTTTGAGCTTCCTCCCCAGAAGGATATAAAGGGGAGAGCAGGTTTCACGCTGGCCTTGGTGGCTCCTGGCCTGTTGACCCTCCATGGAGCAGAGCTGGGCTGATGTTCTCCAGGCTTTGGGTATCTTGTGGTCTAGTGCTGGGCTCTCTAGAGCTGCGAGCTGGTGCAACCCAAGCCGTTCAAGCTGCGGTGGCTTGGGCAGATCCCAGGCTGGTCAAGAGGGGTTTGCAGGTGGCCGTGGTAGAGCTCTCAGATGTGTCTTCCCTTCCCACTGCCAGGAGCAAAGAGCCAGTGCCCCTCAATACGTGGATAAGTGTTTTGCTGGAGAGGAACGGCCGCAAAGGGGTGATGAGGATCAACAGCAGCGAGAGGGTGATGGGAGAGTCGCCGGTAAGTTGGGAGGCCAAGAGGAGCCCCACACAGCTCTGAGGGTTCRGGCCCTGCTCCTGTTTTCTGTGAAACGAAATGAGCAGTTCTCAGCCCTATGGACTTTTCTTCCATGTGGATGGGAGGAGTGGGAAAAGAGAAAGAAGTGGTGGTTGTCAAGCAGTGCCTTGATGGGGCTCAGGAGCATTTCCCCTGTGAAGAGCCAGGCCAGGGAGAAGCCACTGAGTAGCAGGAATCCGTTTGTGCCGTTGCTGCTGAGTGCGTCCGTGCCGCCTTTGCTCCGTTTCCGAGCTAGCAGCTTGTCCCTCTGGCCTCTCTCCGTGCCCTCTCCCCTCTGCGCTTCTCTCTGCACAAACACCAATTCCGTGGGATTTCATGGCAGGGTCACTGGCCTTCCTCCCATCCACCTTCCAGCGGTGAAGCTGAGAATACAGGAAAACCCACCCACAAACCCCATTGCTGCTGAACTCATCCCTGAAATCMACCTGGAAACGCAGGAGGAGGACCTTGCTCCTTCGCCTCCAGCCGTGTGGCCGGGCAGCTGGATTCACATCTGGATCARTCCCTGGGTCTTTCATATCCATACCCGTATGGCATGTAAAGGAGGGGCTTTTTGTCCTTCCCTTGCTCTCCTCTTTCCAAACTCCTTTCCAAATTAAGGTTATACCAGGGTGGCAGCATCCCCTTGTGCAGCTCCCATCGCCAGCTCCTGGGCACTGACYGCAGCCCGTGTGCTTGCAACCTTGCATGTTATGATGGTATCCACTGATCTCCCCTCTCTCTCTTTCTCTCTCTTGGATTTTCATTTGTATTTTTCCCTTCTCTGCTGTCTGGATCCCAGAAATCCCGCAAGGTAAAAGATAAGTATGAGCCACTGCACCTCCATCTCATCTGCCATTGGCACGTTTTATTTCTGTGTCTGTTTTCCATCCRGATCTCAGTGTTTCACCCATCTCCTTCTCCTCTGACCAAGCAGCTCTAGGATCCCTGTAGACTAGAGACGCTTATTTCCCGCTCCTTCATTACTTTTTAGATGATTATTACATATTTTTTTTTCCAGAAGCATTTTAATTAATCTGGTCATTTTTGGTGTGTTAACTCCACAAAGCATTAGCTAATGATTCATATAACTGCACCCTTGCCTCGCTGCTGTGTCTCTGGGTCCCGCCTGGGTACATAGGAAGGGACATCCCTCCTGCTCTGTGCCCAGTGTGACTGGAGATTCCCTAGGGACTTCTGTGCTGCGCAGCAGGGATGCAGGGGGATGTCAAAGATGGGGGACATCAAAGAAGGGGGTCYTTACAAGGACGGGGACTTTACAAGGACAGGATCCTTGAGTCCCTGCAGAGTGATGCCYGATGCATCCTTGCCAACTTCAGGGACAATGTTGTCCCCTCCCACCCTTTGTGCTCTCCTCCCCAGGTGCCCCACACCTTCCTGAACCTCAAGGAGCCCTCTTACGTGGGGGGAGCCCCTGACTTCAGCAAGCTGGCCCGAGCCGCCGCCATCTCCACGAGCTTGGAGGGSGCTGTGCAGAGGGTAAGGCTCCAATGCAGGTGCCCATCCGCATGGGAAGTGCTGGAGGACACTCAGGTCCACGTGCCTATGGGGCACACCTAGAGGGGATGGATGGAGCCCAGGGACCAGTGGGAGGTGGAGTTGGACACTGTCCTCTTCCCACCATGTGCTCCGTGGAGAGATGAGGTGCTGCAGGCTGATTTGTGCTTCCTCTTCCTCGCGATCCAGATCTCCGTCAAGGGGGTGCCCATCCTCAAGGAGGAGAACATCCGCAGCGCCATCGCGGTCTCCTCCTTCCGAGGCCACCCCTGCACCCAGAAGCCGGCCCCCTGCGAGAACGGGGGCACTTGCAGTCCCCGGCTAGAGAGCTACGAGTGCCTGTGCCAGCGGGGCTTCTCGGGGGCGCGCTGCGAGAAAGGTGAGACCGACGCGAGGGTCCCGCGCSCGCCACCCACCACCCAGATGCTGCAGCAAAACTGCACCTTGGAGCTCTTGTCCGTGCCCTGGCTGGTGGGAGGGATTTGGGATGGATGGGGTATTTCCAGGAATTGCCTCGCTCGGGAATCCGTGCGTTGTGCTGCCTGTAGCAGGGCAAATGCTGCTGCTCRCGGGTAGGTCACGCAGCCCTGTCACTGCCTGGTGCTCTCTGACCGTTTCAGGTTGCAGGTTTAGCCCCCTGGCACAGAGAGACAGGGTTTAGCTTTGTGGCACATTCACCCTGAGTGATTCTGAACATTTCCACTTTTGGGGTTTCTTTTCTTGCTGCCTCCCCGAGTTTGATTCTTGGGCCATCACCAAGCTGCGTTCCTCCTCTGAGGATCCAGGAGARCAACACAGCTGCAAATTCTAGGTCAGCTTGCTGTAAAACAGGGAGCTGGCCCAAGTTTCAAAGCCTTGCAGGGTGCTGACCTGTCCCATGGGATGCCACAGGCCTCTGTGCCTCGTCCTGTTGGGAAAGCTGAGTATGAAGGGCTGCTTTTTCCTGGTCTCCAAGGAAGCACAAGCCGTGCTGTGTTGCCTGATGGCTCCTTTTCTCCCCRCAGTGCTCATTGAGAAGGCAGCGGGAGATGCAGAGGCCATTGCTTTTGATGGTAGGACCTACATGGAGTACCACAACGCTGTGACAAAGAGGTAATTTGGCTGCTCTGCTGAACCAGGGCCAATCAAGACTGTTAACAGGAGCAAGAGATAGAGGCCAGAGATCTCCTATCCTCATTCTGCCCTGTGTGGTGGTTAATGTCCCCTGGGGGCTTCTCCAGACCTGTGGCACCTTGTGCTCCAGAGCCCTGGAGTCCCCTTCAGCCCCCCAACCCTGTGGACCGCTCAGTGTGCGGCCGTGCAGAGCACGTCCCGTCCGTCCCCTTGCATCCTGTGCTCCCCGTAGCGCTAAGTCCGCCCGTGTCCCTCCGCCGAGGTGAGCGTCCCCGCGGAGCCGCTGTCCGTGTGTCTGTGTGTCTGTCTCCTCTCAACGTCCTTGTCTCTTTGTTTTCAAGCCACGTCACCAATGAGATTCCCGCGTAAGTACCGTGCTGCCCACACCCCATCGCTGCCCGGCATGGGAGGGGGATGCAGGGGTGCTCCGAGAGCGGCGTTCCCTGCTCCTGGCCACAACTCTAAAGGCTCCAGAGGAGCCTTGGCACAGAGGAGGTCACACGTTGCTGCTGTCACGCGTTGTCCCAGGAGCAGGCTGCCATTTAGCCTCGCTTTAAGCRATGAGGAAGAAAGTCCCCCGTGACTCCTGCCTTAGCCCAGCATTCCCATTAGGAAAAGGTGTGATAAGGGGCTCGTTTCATGCAAGCTGAGCTCTGCTGGGCGCTCTCCGTGCACGTGTGCATGTTGGCAGCCTGTGAACTGCAGAGCTGAGCCCGTGGCATTTCACTGTGCATGCCCTGTCCTGCAAGGAAGCAGAACTCCCCAAATCCTTACGGAAGCCTTTGGCAGCAGCGCTCAGGACCCAGAAGGCTCCATCAGGCTGCCCATAAAAAGCAATTTCTTCGGCCCCCAGGCAGATATCGGGCCGTGTCCTGGGCACGGCTTGCGCTCCAGTTGCTCCTGGATCCTGCTGGCTGGGACATGCCCCATGCATTTTATTTAAATGTGCACATAAATATATAATTGGAGCTGGTTGCAACGATGGTCCTTGCGGGCAATGCCAGCAAGACAGCTGTAGTGCTGGGTTTCCCCTTTCCCACCCTACTGCCCAGGTGCCCCAGGCTGCCCCGGGAATGTCGGTGGCCGTTTGCCTTTGGCCCACATGGGATCTCATCCCAAAGATCCCCGTCCCAAAGCAGCAGCCCCAGGTCTGCATGAAATAGTGCCCGGGAAGGAGGCATCCAGCGGGGTGCGAGTGCTCCCCGCCTGCGTGGGTGGGAGGAAGGGGGTCCCCTGCCCTGTGCTTATCGCATGCTCCCCTCTCTTCCTGCCTCTAAGTCCCGGCACGCTGGACTCTGCCCTGGAGCTCAGGTGAGTCCAGGCCTGCTGCTCGCGGCTCCCGCTCCGCTCTCGCTGCAGCCGCGTCTCCTCTCCGTGCGTGTCCTCSTCATCCACCCCTCTGGCTTTCTACCGAGTTACCTTGTCCAGTGTGTGGTGTCCCTTGGGAATAAAGAGCCGTCCGTGTTGTCTGGTCTATGTGTGCGCTTGTGTCCTGGAGCATCCCAAGGAAAGGGGATGGTGACTCCCCATGGCARTGTGGCTCCTTGCCCAGGGCCCTTTGCCTGCTCCAAGAGGGACTGAGCAAAGATGAGGTTGCCAAAGTGGGGGAAAACCCTCTTCCTGGCAGGGCACTGCTCATCGGTCCACCTAATAGACTTCCTCCTTCCACGTTTGGAGACCCAACCAGGACTTCCCTGGTTTGGTCCAAGGAGGGCAGAAGCTGAGGTCAGTAGCCCCAGGTTGCATCTTACAAGCTTCAAGTTGGATGCTGATGGGGGAAAAAAAAATAATTCCCAGGACATCTGCAGTCCCACACAGGAAGGTGGGCGAGTGCCGCCCTTGAGGGTTTCCAGTCTCAGCTGGCCAGAGTCCTGGTGGCCCTCCTCAAGTTCTAGTCTTGGTGGGAGGTGGCTGAGAGACCTCCTGGGGCCCCTTCTTGCAGCATTTCTGGGATCCTAGGACCTAGTTGAGGGGCAGATTGGCTGCCTGGTGCTCTTGTAGCCCCATTTTTAACTCCATTTTCCCCCATTCCCACCTGCTGGCGCAGCGAGAAGGCCCTGCAGTCGAACCACTTTGAGCTCAGCATCAAAACGGAAGCCACGCAGGGGCTCATCCTGTGGAGYGGGAAGGGGCTGGAGCGCTCGGACTACATCGCCCTAGCCATAGTGGATGGCTTCGTGCAGATGACCTACGATCTGGGCTCCAAGCCCGTCGTCCTGCGCTCCACCGTGCCCGTCAACACCAACCGCTGGATTCACATCAAGGCATCCAGGTGCGGAGGCTTGCGGGAAGGTCTGGGACACATGGCTCCGGGATGGGCCAGCCCTGGATGCGGTCAAGCCTTGGGAACCTGAGTCATGGCCTTGGCTTCGTGCCCTCGGATCCCCAAGGGCCAGTCATCCTCTTGGACAGCGTTAGAGGAAAGGCACGCGGGCAATGCCGTGTGGAGGGACGCGTGTTGTGACAGGCCTGCCCTGGCTTCTAGGAAGCACCAAAGGGGCAAGTCTGGAGGAGGTACGAAAGCTCCATGCCTTTTATTTTAGCTCGGCATCTTGTCCACGTTGGGTCCGAGCTGTCCCGGCGCTTGGGTGGCTTTTATTTTTGGTGGTACCAGGGGGAGTGGTGAGCAGATGGCATGGCTGGCACGCCGGGGATTTCTGCTGATGGCTCTCCAGGAATTAGGAGGGAAAACATGGCCCTTAGCAGGATGGATCTGCAGGAGCTTGGGGCGGATGCTGGATGGAAGCCCTCTGGATGGAGCAGGGAGTTGGTGCCCAATGCCCAGCTTTAGCATGGAGGGCACTTTCAGGGATTGCAGCCGAGGTTCCTGATGGTCTTTCCTTCCTTCTTCCCTCTCCTGGGACAGGGTGCAGAGAGAGGGTTCCCTGCAAGTCGGCAACGAAGCCCCCGTCTCTGGTTCTTCTCCGCTGGGTGCGACGCAGCTGGACACGGACGGGGCCCTGTGGCTGGGTAAGCAGGAGCACAACCCTCTCCATGTGTCCCTCAGAGGCCCCGCTGGCCCTTGCGATGCTCCCACACCAGTTTCTTTGGGCCATTAAGTTCCATCTCCATGTGARGAGGAACTTCTTTACTGTGAGGGTGCCAGAGCCCTGACACAGGCTGCCCRGGCGGATTGTGGAGTCTCCCTCTCTGGAGGTCTTCAGAACCCACCTGGACGCCACCCTGTGCCMCSTGCTCTGGGTGTCCCTGCTGGAGCAGGAGGTTGGACTAGATGATCYCTAGAGGTCCCTTCTGACCTCAGCCATGCTGTGATTCTGTGGGTGCCTTCGAGGAGCCGGGCCCACGGCTGCGGTTTGGGGGCGCGGTGGATGCAGGGCCTTTCTCCCCGCGCCCGACGCCTGCTGTTTTGCAGGAGGGATGGAGAAGCTCGGCGTGGCGCACCGGCTGCCCAAGGCCTTCAGCACCGCCTTCGTGGGCTGCATAAGGGACGTCACSGTGGACCACCGGGACCTGCATCTGGTGGAGGACGCTTTAAACCACCCCACGATATTACACTGCTCAGCCAAATAGACCCCAGGGACCCTCCCTTCTCCCTCCCGCCCTCCTGCCTATTGCTGTAATTATTTTCTATTTTTGTAAACTTATTGCTTTTTATATTTTTTGGGGGGAAGGGCTCCGGGGGGGAGGGGTAGGAAACACCTTTTCTTTTGGGTTATTTGTTCGGTTGCAGTTGATCCAGGTCAGTCAGGCTCTAATCAAACAGCAGCAACAAAGAACAGGCCCTGAAGCAAGTCTCCAAGAAGTGACAGAAGAACTTCCCCGTTGCGGCTGCACTGTAAACTCCATCCATACTTGAAGCTTTTCTTTGTTTGGGGGGGGGGTTGTTTGTTGGTTTTTTACTTTTTTCACTCTTTGCTCGTGTTTTTGGGGGGTTGCTCGTGCCCTCGAGGGAAAGGGAAGGACGATGGTGCTGGCAAGACCCCAGTGCGTTCCCTGCGTGCCCGTCTCTGCCCTTCCCAAAGCCCCTTCTTCGGTGCTGAGCGGGGCTGGAGCCATCTGAACCGAGTGGGAATTTGGTTAATTTACGTGTGCCAGGATCTCCGCTGCTTTTCTCCCGGTATTAGAGCCTGTGCAACTGCCGAAGCTGCTCCAAGCAGGAGGAAAACCAACCACGAGCCTGTTGCAAGCGATGGCAGGGAATGTCCCACCGCATCCGGGGTCCTTCTCCACGGGAAGAGCCGTCTATCCCACTGTGCCCCTTCCCCTCCCGAGCAGGCAGCTGGCATTGCCTTGTGTAAAACATCGTTTATGGAGCACACACAATTAATCAGAAAGATCCTGCTAGGTCTCAAGTGTTACTTAAGAGCCAGGGTGCCATCGCTTTGCAGTTTTCCTGCAAATTTTTTTGATACTACTTCTCACATTCTCTCAAAAAAAAACGTTTCTCAGCACTGAATTTTCAGCAATGGAAAGTCAACTTACTTTTCTCAGGGTGACCTCTGAACGTCGATGTAATGAAGGGGAACAGCATCAAGTGAAACCACCTGCGTTTCTTTTACTTTCCTTCTCCTTTGAGAATAAAGGGCAGAGCTGCATGCGTTCCATTTCTAAGGTCAAGACATGAAGGACACTGGACTAGGTGCATGGTTTTCCCTTTGTATTCCCAGCGTTTTTGGGCATGGTGGTGGTTTGGGAACAGTCCTTGCTGGTGCATTTCCTCCCTTCCCTTCCTCTGKCTTTCCCTTTTCCCCATCCAGCCTGAAAAACCCTTGTGCTTCCCAAGCAGCCGTTGCCTCTTGCACTGCCAAGCAAGACCTGTTCCCCGTGGAAATCCCTGTCTAATAAGTTGTCCTCCTTCTAAAAACCCGGTGGTTAAATATCCCGTGGAGAGTGGTGGCTTCTGTGGAATGAACTGGAGACTGCAGTGTTTGCGTGTGTGGGTGCATGGATGGGTGCGTGTGTGGGTGCGTGCATGGCAATGTGTGACATTTCAGGTGACTACTGTACATAGGGTGGCTCCTAGCGGGGGGTGCTGCGGCTGTTGTGGAGCGGCTGTATTTTGAGCGCAGGGTGTAGATGGCCGAGGGCTGCGGGATGGGGTAGGACGGCCGCCTTTGGGAGCTGGACATGCCCGTTCCGCAGGGCGAGGGAGCCGCTCATTTACCAGAGTGTCACTGCAATGAAGCCAAGGTCACTGCAAAAAAAAAAAAAATAATAAAAATCACACAAAAAAAAACCCTCTGTCTGCTTTTGCTGGGGCTTGGAAATGCCTTAAACCAGGACGTTGTGTCCTTGTCAAGCATCCTGAACCACGGTCGGATTCAGCAGTGCTCCSTAGGGGCTGTGCACTTAACTTCGGCTTTATTTTTAATAGCATTTATACCGCGTATGTACAAAAAAAATATTGTTTTTTTTTTCTGGGGTTGTTTTTTTGCTCTTTTTTTTAAGGAAAAAAGAAGTTGTCTGTCCATGTGGCTTCATTCATTTATAGGGTAAATTAATGACCAGTGTAAACTGCTGTATGAATTCTGAAGGGCAATGCACAGTAGAGGGGCAGCATGATATAACCATTACTAACTTGTGTCTTTCGTCAATCACCATGAAATAAAGTTTGAAAACTGTAAAATCTGCTGGAAAGGGACCTATTTCTTTTTAATTCTTTGTCGCACCGGCTGCCTCCCCCCAGCTCCCTCTCTCTTGGACAGGCACAATGTGAAATCAAACTGGTTTCTCCCCTTGAACCTGAGTGACTTTTGTAGGTACCTGCTGTATCTTCTAAATTCCTTCTCCTTACGATGGTGAACTCAGTGCTGAATTATTTCTTTTGTTGAACTAGCTGTTTGCCTTTCCTTCCTTATTCTGTATGTTTTTATTGGCTTTTTCAGCAGCCCTGAGCCCTCACTCTTGCAGCTTCATCTTTCTGCAAGAAATAAGGTGGCACAGGGATAATTTTGGTGGCCTCGAGTGAGAAAAGGAGGAGGGTGCCCTGGCAGTTGGGAGGCATCGAACTCAGCAAAGCAGCCCCTTCCCGTGCCACGTAGCGATGCACATTGCTGAGCAGCTCCGTAGGAACCGGCTTTTCAATGGACAAGGGGACGCCGAGGAGGGACAATGGGCAACAATGAGGCCCCTGTTCGGAGAGCCTTAGGCCTTGCCCAAGTCTCCGCTGGGCCCGCGGCTTGCTCGAGCCCAGCCTCTTGCCGCAAGCTCTTCTTGACAATGTCCGTATTGTGCCGCGGCAGGCAGGGGCTTGCAAAGTCGGTGCCGCTTCCACGGGCTTCTTGCCAGGTTGCTGCAAAGCGCGAGGAGAAAAGCCCTCGTTGTCTTGGCCGGGGTGAAAAGTGGAGTTCTGACAGCATTAGAGAGAGAAAAAAAAAAGAAAAAAAAAAGAAAAAAAAAAGATGGAAAGAAACATTGTGTGGGGAAGGATGGAGGAAAGAGGAAGAGCTGCACTGGGGCCGTGCGTGGGCAGTGACTCAAGGAAAGGGCCAGCCTGGGCTTTCTGGAAGCTCTTGCTCAGAGGGCAGGAGTGCAGCATGTGCAGAGCAAGCTGCCTAAGGGGAAGGGGAAAATCCTTCCCAGAGGAGAGGGCAGCGGGATGGGATGGTCTTGGCATCCTCCGGAGGAGGGRATTGTGTCTGGCCACGGTGCAGCTGCGGAATTCCTATTTGTCCCACTGGATCCCGGTCCCCTCCTCTGCCTTCCCAACACGATCTGTGGGATGTGTGAGTGTGGAAGAAGGTCCCAGCAGCTAGAAACCAGCATGGGGAGGAACGAGGAAGGTGAGGAGAGGCCTTGTGGTCACCAGGGCTGCTCTCTGTCCTCGTGGGTCCCCTTGTGCCATGAGTGGCATGTGGGGAAGCTCTGCAACCCGCTGGCCCTCCTCACTCCCGMCGGCTCTCCGGGGCTTCCCCAAATAGACGTGGAATTCGCTGAGTCTTATTATAGTTATAAAAGTGCTATTTTTGCCCCTGTGTGGAGGCAGTGCCGGGCCGGGGAGGGTGCTCGCTGGCTGTGTCCTGGCTCTGCTCTCGCTCTTGGACAGCTGGCTTTGTTTCCTCACCCAGCGTTCATGAAAGGTGCCAGATTCAGAGCATTTCTCTGGGTTGGGTTCTGGGGAGAGGGCTGTTTGTTTGCTTTTTAATGTGAAGCAGCGTTATATTTGATATGAGGCTGCCAAAGACTTCCAAATTCACGTGTCAGATAAAGCAGGTAGCACACCTGACCCCAGCTCACCCTGTGCAAGATTTTGATGTCAACTTCTCCTTCTCACCTTAGGTGTTGGGATGASAGCGGGAATCCACTCTGGAGATGCCCTTATTGGTCCCAAAGCAGCCCCTGGCTGGGAGCACTTGGGGATAACGGCAAATAGGGATGGGACTTGCCAGGCTCAGGGAGCACAACATGTTTTCTGGAGACCTTCTTGGCTCTCTGAGCAGCGTGACCATCGCTGTGGCCAGAGCCTTGTGAATCCAGCAGCAAGATCCAGGCCTTCTGCAGCAGCCAGGCCCTGCACCCAGCCTGAAACCCACTTCTGGTGTGAAATCTCCGCGCCGTCACAAAATCGTGCAATGGGGCTGCCAGCTGGGGACTCACTCCACCAAGGCGGACTGGTGCTTGTGCTATATGGCTGTGCACACCCAAACCGGCCGCCTCTCACTGCAGGGCATTAGCTAATTAGCTAATTGCACTGATTTGGGGCCATTGTGCTGATATTTGACCGTTTCGTGCTGCTTGGTGTGACGCAGAGGCCCAGCTCGCGGTCCCCTCGTTCTTCCCGAGCAGAGCGAGCGGCCGGATGCAGCCCGTGGACGCAGCCGAGCGCGGGACGGCCGTGGGGGCGTGGCCGAGGGCGGGGATTCCCATGACGTCACAGGGAGGGTTTTCCCCGGCGGGCACGTGGCCGCGGCGCCCAGCTGCGAGGGGGCGTGGCCGAGGGACAGGGGGCGTGTCAAGAGGCGTGGACTGCGACCGAGGGGCGTGGTCTTGGGCGGAGGGGGCGTGGCCGGAGGGAAGGGGGCGTGGCCGGGCGGTGCGGTGCCGCTCCCGGCTGCGCTCCCGGCGCCGCGGTCGTTTCTCTCCGGTTCGGCGCTCGGTCCCGTCCGGTTCCGGTTCGGTTCGGTTCGGCTCCGGCCTGGCCATGACCTCCCGCAGGTGAGCGCCGAGCTTACACTATCGCATTTGGGTGCGCCCCTCCCTGCCGCCGTTTTCAGCCTCGGTCCCTTTTCCCTGGTGGCAGCAAGAGGCTCGGGGGCATCTTTCCCTCTTGGTTGCTCCTCTGCTGCAGCTTCGAATTGGGGAAATTTTGAAGGATTCGCCTTTTCTGATGCTCAGAGTGCCGGGGCTCCTGCGCAGGTGGCTYGTTTGGAGGCAGGACTCGTTGGCCCGTTCTCAATGTCGGCCTTCGGGTGACTCGGGAAAAGCTTTGGTGGCCGTTAGAAGCTAAGCGTGTCTTGGAGAGCGATGCTGGGGAACAGTTCGGGGTCACTTTAAACTCAGAATCAACAGTTAYAGGATAGAGGCTGTTCAGTACTAGTGCAGCATCACGTGTGGGTAGGTCAGCGCTTCCATGGTCCCTGTTTGAATGTAACTCCAGAGGTAACTCCAGAGGCTCCTCATGTGTGTTCCTGCAACAGCAGGACTTGGGGGCTTGAGTACTTTGTATTGTGGGGGTGGAATGTCTCTTTTTTGTTTTGTATGGAATAATGAAAAGGTTCTATCATCCAACCTGGCTGTCTCTCCTGCAAATACCCACACACCACAGCTCAATATCTATTCTTTGATTAAATGTATGCAGGAGAAGTTTAGGAAGGAACAGCATTCACCCAGGTGGTGCTGCGGAAAGCAAGAAGACATGGTTGCTGGCAGGTGCTGGAATTTAAAGGAATGGGCTGGAATTTAGAGCCCCTGGATTCCATCCCCAGCTCTGGTTGTGCCCGCAGACTACTCGGGATTCMTCCATGCAGCCTGTACCTGCCTAACCCCATCTTATAGGGCAGTATCTTAGGGCAACAGGATGCTAGGGACAGCAAAACGGCCGGGATGCTGCTGCCAGCTCAGCCCTTGTGAGAATCCTGGAAAACCTGGTCCGTGTCAAGGCCCGGCCGAAGCCAAGGCAGCCGATCCCACGCAGGGGCTCGGCATCGCACCCACCGCCTTGCTCCCACGGGAGCCCTTGGGATTGAGAGCACTTCAGCGTTAATCGGCTAGCGGGCTGGCTCCCAAACGCCGCTGGTGTGGAGCTGCTGCAGCCGGGGAGTGGTTGGCCTGGGGTGCCGAGAAGCGGCTTTTTGGTAGCTCCAACCAAGGCGATACAGGGGTCCGAACCAAGGGAACGGCCTCAGGAGCAGGTAGGGTGGGCRACAGGCCGTAGCGAGTGCGTCCCATTGCATTGGGGTCGGGGGCTTCTCCTTCCTTTCCCGTCCCTCCTACTGGGCTGTGAAACTCGAGTTGCATTTGGGAGCTGCTTGGAGAGGCAGATGTCCCTTAACAGCTGATGCCCTCTGAGACGCTCATGGATGCGATTAGAGGTCTCGCTGTGACAGGGATGCCCTTGCAGGCCCCTAAAAAACCGATTTCCCTCCTGGAAAGGCATTTCGGGAGCATTTGGCAGATGGCTGCCAGGAGCGTTCCCCTTGTCCTTAGGACGGGATTATTCTTTACAGATGAGTTTCCCGGAACAGCAGGGCTGGGAGGACGGAGAAGCCTGGACACAGGCACAAAYGTGACCCTCTGGATTGCCCCCAGCGTGGGGCAGAGCTGGGCAGCCCCGTCCCGCAGAGGCCAGCGGGGTCTCRCTCAATTTGTGCTCAATTTGTGCTGTTGGGTGACACACTACGGAGCCGCGTGTCGTCACCGCTCCCCGTGCTGCTGCCCGAGCCCTGCTGCCTCCAGCAACTCCCGTTATTCTCCTTTCCCACCCGCATCCGTAGGAGCMTCCCCCTCGGCTCCAAGGCCACGGCAGTTTGTGCTGTGGAGCCTGTTTTAGCCCACAGCGATTGCACAAAATCCTCCCGGCTGCTCCCTGTGCTCCAGGAGATGCTCCCTGCAGCCCCGACCCAGAGAGGGGCTGGTATTTTTAGTGAAACGCTTCAATTTCTTTAACRGACTCAACAAAAACAGGCTATTGAATGGCATGCAGAGGCCAGCGCTGCAGTGCGTGTCTTGGGCAGCCTTTGCCGGGCATTCAGAGGATCCCTTTGTAAAAGTGAGCTTGCTGCTCGCCTGCCGTGCTGCGTCTGCTGCCGCTTTACCCGGCGGTGAGAGCGGCTCCCTGGCAGGGCTCGAGCTACCTGCAGCTCCTGGCACCGGCTGCAGAGCCGGGAGATGCGGTGCCAACCCTGACCACCTGAGCAGCATTCAGGCCTTGCCGGGGGGGAAAAACAACCCCAAAAAAGTGCAAAAGTGCTTCCTAGCCACGCAGCCGGGACCTTTTGCTCCCTGGCTTTTGCTGCTCAGATTTTCACTATTTTTTTCCCCTATCTCTTGTTTTTCTGTGTATGAAGGTCTTTGTGCACAGGAGAGCTCTCTTGAAACRCAGAGATACGGAGCTCAAGGTTTTTGTGTGGGGGATCTTGCAGGCGTGCATGGACGGACGGGAAACGCTGTATTTGCACACGTAGCGGGCGTGATTTTCTTTTGTTTTTCCACTAGACTTTACTGTGGTAAATAAGAATGAAAACCTAAGTGGTAATTCAAATTACATTTCTATTATAAGCCGCTAGCCAGGGTCTTTACAGGCCTGCCAGGCAGGTTGCAGATCCCTGTGTCCAGAAGCACTTTTCCTGYGGTAGGAATTGGCTTATTTGGTTCCTTTTTTTGACGCCGGGATTAAAGGCAGGGTCCCGAGCAAAGCTGCCCCGCAGCCTTTGGAGGAGGGATGGAAAGCGGCTCCCGCCGGCCCGCTGTGCATTCCAGGAAACGGGTGTAGGATGAGGCCGAAGCAGATTAGGAGGCCGGCCTGTTTGCAGGCTTCCTGCGCCAGCCCRAAGGGAAGAAGGAAATTCTTCGTATTAAACCGAAGTGGGAATCAGGAACCGGGCGCTTCCTGCCTGGGCTTTCTCTGCAAGCGGCTCCGGCGCTGCCTGCATCCCTGGCCTTCTCCAAAGCGCTGGAGGGATGCACGGGTGAGATGGGCACCAGCTTCTCCTCCTGCTCCTCCCGAGCTGCTGCTGCTCCTTCTGCAGGCGTCAGGGATGTCCCGTGGGGATCCCATGGACGTGGGGCCCATTGCTGTGGTCCCGCTGCCGCCTCCTTTCCCTCTCCCGCCGAGGAAGAGCACGCCGTGGCCTTACGATAACGTCTGGAAATGACTCCCGTTGTCAACCGGCGGTTGTTGTGTCTAGTAGATCTGGGCTGTGTCACGGCTCTGCCGAGCTGCCGCTAATCTCCCGTGGGAATCACAGAATCAAGGTTGGAAGGGACCTCTGGAGATCATCTAGTCCAACCTTCTCTTAAATAAATGCCCTGCTTAAATAAACTGCGGGCTGGCGATAGCCCACACCAGAGCAGCTGGGGAGGGAAAAGCTGCTCCCTTCTAGCAAGGGAGGCAACGAGGGTGCTGTGGCCACCAAGAGGGGGTGAACAGACTGTGGCTGGGTTAAGAAAACAGCGATAAAGGATCTGCCTTTGAAAAATAATGRTTGAGAAGCAGGCGTGAGGAGCGGATCGTGCTGTGCTCTACTGACATTTCAAARCGTTTTGCAGAAAATGGAGTGATTCCGAGGGAAAAAAACGAGGGGAGAGCTGCTCGTGTTGGTGCGAGAAGAAGTAATGAGAAACGTCACGAGTTTTTGTGCTGAATTGGTGTTAAGGCCATCCGTGGGCTGTGTCCCACCCCAGATAACCGGGATATTACTTGCTTGGTCTCCCAAGGCCTTCGCCCTGGCCAAGGGTGCTCGCGGTCTGTCATCCCGCCTTGGAGCAGCTGCGCGGGACAGGGAACTGGGAATGAACTGGGCAGGAGAGCRGGATGCCCGATGGAGGCGCTGCCCGTGGCGCGAGGTGCTTGACTCGCGCGGCGTGCGTCGCAAACTAAATACATTTCAAAACAACCAAAATTCCCCCTCACGCCCTAGAGCAGCATCCCTTCCATGTAAGGTTGTTTCCAGGGCTATTTTTGTCCTTGGTTTTCTTTTTTTCCCCCCTCCTTCCTCCTCCCCGCCATGCTCTCCTGAAACATTTCCATCCGTCTCCTCTCGAAGAAGTGTTACAAGCTCTGCCACTGATTAAATTCTAAATATAGCTGTGGCATATATATGTATTTTTTTTTCTCTGCAATTCCTCATGATGTATCTAGGTAAAAAATAGCCCTGGCGATCCTTCAAAGGGGACATGGGCCTGCCACGGGCTGTATTTTTGTCCTGTCACCCTGCCCAGGTCCAAAATAAGCCGCCTCGTTTTTAATTAGCCTGTCGGGTTATATAATCCTGAAAGGTGCGGATTTCTGGGCCCGGCAGGAGCACACGTGACGTGGGCTCGGGCGGATTGCAGCAGCAAGTGGCCTGTGTTGGGGTCGCAGGGATGTCCTCTCCTCGGCTGGTCCTGGGGACCACGGAGCAGGAGCTGCTGGTTTCTCACATAAGGTCACCCAGCTGGTCCCTCTGGCCTCTGCTTGATAGTGGGGACTTCTGGGCTCCTCGGCTCTTGCCTTGGAGCTGCTTTGGGTCTCCTGTGCTCCCAGGGGAACAGAGCGGGGTTTTCTTCCCGTGGCATCATCCTAGCAAATGAGAGGTTTTATTTGTCTTTGTGTGACAGATAGATCTCTCGCTAGCCCCGTCCTGAGGGGCTGTGCTTGGAAAAGCATCTTCCTGCTCGCCTCACCCAACAGGAGCGATGGGAACCAAGTGATTCCTTCTGCCTGTCACTGCAGCTTGCGGTGCCTTTGGCCTCACCCTGCTCTTCCCTTTAGTCCCTTGAGGGACTTCAAGGTCTCTACACTTCCAAAGAGACCTCTCCTTGCAGCCCTTATCAGAAATGGCCCTTATCAGAGCTGCCTTTAGCCCGGCCATGCACGGGAGCCRTGTGCTCCTGCTCTACAAGACCTTTAGAAGTTTTCTAGCCAGCAGATGGAGCAAAGGCCTTGCCTTTTTGGGTGAGACACAATGGAGAAACATGTGGACCCCCTCTTCTTTTCTCTGTGCTCTTGCTAAGCG